ACCACCCAGGGAAACCGCCAGCCCCCCCCCCCCCCCCGGCCCAAAACAGTCCAGTGGCACCTTTAACGCCAAGTTTTATTCAGGTACAAGCTCTCCCTCCCCTGCAGGGACAGATCTGCACGTGTCCGTCCCCCCCAATAGCTAGCAATACGAAACAGTCCAGTGGAGCCTGAGCGGTGGGTGTTGCCTCCTGACACACTTCCGGTGATGTCAAGGGGTGTGGCATATGCAAATGAGTTATGCTAATGAGCTCCTGCACCTCTTTTTCTACGAAATGACCCCTGCCAACAGAGATTACGAACTGGGGCCGAGAATACCTCCAACTATTTCCAGTGGATCCAGGGTGATCTCTGGGGCTGCGTGATCAGCCGTCCTCTGCACTGTGGCATTGAGCACCCGATTCATGACCGTCACTTTCGTGTCGTAAAAGATGAATCCTAGAGAAAGACCCAGGGAACTGATTGAGTGGCTCTTCCTCAGGGAACGGCCGCAATCCAGGCGCACCGTTTGCCGGGGAATCCGGACATCTGGCAGGGACTCGGCATTCCCCTGTCGGTCCCTGGTGCTCAGAAAAGGTTCCTTTCTCGGAGTGGCGCACATGGTGCTCCTCCACAGTTGCCTGAGGACTGGAGTTACTCAGCTTGGGGGGGAAAGGGAAGCCGCTTGCTCCCCAGTCCTTCCAGCCCCCTTCCCCCCCGAGCGACAGTCTTGTCAGTGTCTCCATCAACGTTCCCTCTAAGCTGTAGAGTCTTGTGAGCAAAAATTCTACTTTGTGAGCTCCTGGCATTAAAGTTGTGAGCGAGCGATTGGGCTACTGCATAAATTGATTTGCTCTGGAGCCCTCCTTCCTGAGCGGAGACAAAAATGTGTGAGCCGGAGGCTAAAAAACTGTGAGCTAGCTCACACTAACTCAGCTTAGAGGGAACACTGCAATGCTCCCTCTAAGCTGTGGAGTCTTGTGAGCAAAAGTTCTCCTTTGTGAGCGCCTGGCATTAAAGTTGTGAGCGAGGGATTTGGCTGCCGCCGAAATTAGTCTGGAACCCTAATAAATCTGGAGCCCTCCTTCCTGAGCTAAGACAAAAATGAGTGAGCTGGAGGCCAAACAACTGTGAGCTAGCTCACACTTCCTCAGCTTAGAGGGAGCACTGGTCTCCCCTTTGTATGACTGCAAAATGAGCCCTGCTTCCCTTATGGCTCCGCTAGGCACACGGTCGGCACACAACCCTCACCTTTGGCCACTTGGAGCAGCGCTGCGATGCTGTTTGTGTACATCTCAGTCTGGCGCAGCTCCACCAGCGGCAGGAAGAAGGTCTCCAGCGTGGTGTTGAGGGACTGAAGCAGTGCAAAACGCAGGCGCAAGCTCTCAAGAGGAACATCTGCAAGGGAGCAAGAGAAGGCAGCCGCTGAGAAGGAAAGGAAGGAGGACAGGCGCCCGCTTGGGCCGCCAGCTCTCCTCTTCCGCCGCCGAGCCCCAGGTCTGATCCGGCCCCCCCCCCCCCCAAATACACACATACTCAGCAGGCAGGAGACACGGGGGTCAGCTGTGTCCGCGGGGTCCAAGTACACTTCGTGAGGGTGCAGCCGGGCTGGGGTAATGGCCAGATGGCGACAGAGGCGGTTGACATACTGAACCAGGGCAACGTCCATCTCCAGGGACCACTTGCGGGAAGCCTTCTGGGCATGTCTGGCGTCGATGCAGGCACACCTGGGACACAGGGAGGATACAGCTTGGAAGGGAGTGCAAAGCACACGGTCTGGGGCTGATGGGACTGGCCTGGCCGTGTTGACGGACAAGGTGGCAAAACCCCACCGCTTCTGCAACGTCTGTGGGCAGAGCGTCATCCTGTCCCCCTCCGGCAAACAAAGCCCTCCCTCACCTTTCAAAATGAAGGTCGTAACCGCACGACAAAATGGCTCGCCACACGCTTCGGATGTCCTGTTTTGCCCGATCGATGACAAATTTCTGAAATCCATCCAGCGTCAAATATTTCTCCTCCGGAACTAAGAGGGTTTATCAAGAGAGCATTCATGAGGCAGCTGAAAACACCAGCCATTGCTGCTGGATTCACCACTTGTACCCCGTGTGTGCGATGCCCCCTTCCTTCTGAGTTTCAAATCACAGCCGACTCTGGATTTTTACGGTTTATCCTTTAATAAAAAAATTATATCCCTCCCCCCTTCAATTTTAGGCTGCAGTGCCGGTTTACATGATACTTTAAAATACATGGGGGGAAACAGTTGCACACTCGAGAAGCCAGGGTGGTGTAGTGTTTAGAGAGTCAGGGTAGGATCTGGGAGACCCAGGTTCGAATCCCCACTCATGCCATGGAAGCTGGCTGGGTGACCTTGGGTCAGTCCCATACACTCAGCCTAACCTACCTCTCAGGGTTGTTGTGAGGAAAAAACAGAGGAGAGGAAAACAATACAAGCCACTTTGGGTCCCCAATGGGGAGAAAGGCGGGGTATTGAGTAAATAAATAAACTTCAAAGCAGTTAAAATAAGAACAAGCAAAATGCACAGAATAAAACGAATGCAGCCAGCAATTACAGGTAGCAAACCATTTAATACTGCAAAGGTCCTGCCTCGGGAAAAGTCATAACGGTGTCAAGGGAAGCTGCAAGGGAGCTCTTTCGGCAGAATCCCACAAGACAGGGACCACTGCAGAGGAGGCCCTGCTGTTCATAGCCCCTGGCCTGGCCTCCAGTGGTGGGAACATGCGAAATCAGACCTGCCTTGACAATCTCACATCCCTCTGGGGTGGGTGCGGGGAGAGAGGTGTCCAAGGAGAATGTCCCCCAAACACCCTCCAAGTCTTACCACTTTGTGCCTTACTAAAAGTACATTAAAAGACCACCAGCCACAAGGGCGCCAGACTCTGCATCGCTCTCCAGCCATCCATGGTAGCCAACGGGGTCATCAGGCTAGGAGCGTTTCAATTCACGGGAGCGGCAAGCATAACTGGAACGCAGCCCAGCCTGGGAGGAAAACCACTTTTCGATTTAGGGGCTGCTGCTCTGCCGGTGTGCTGCCGTGGCTCTCCTGGGAACAGGGCAGAAGCGTTTCACTCCCCCCCCCCCGCCCGGGCCCTCACCTTCCTGCTTCTTTGTGGGTGATTTGTCTGGGTCCTTTTCATCAGGTTTGCTCTTCTCTGGGGACTTGGGTTTCACAGTTGGCTTCTTTTCACTCAAGGCTGTCCTGCTAAGAGAGAGGAAATGGCCGTGTCAGAAGGCAGGCTTTCAGCTGCTTTTGAGAGCCGGTGTGGGATAACCGCACACGCATACTTAGTGGAAGTCTTCTCCAGGCAGCCTGGAGGCACCACACAAAATTGGCATCTGGGACAGAAAACTCTGGTACTGTGACCTAACAGTGGCTTTTCACGTTGACCCCAGATACCAAAAAACCCCATCTGGAAGTAAGGATTAAGGCTCGCTGCCTTATCCAGGGACTCAGCCCTTGTCTTCTGTTACGTAGTCAGGATTCTGCTATGGATCCCATGGAGTCAGGTGTTTGGAAGCCATCATGGGGGGGGGGGTATGGGCAAGGCCACGTAAACTATGCACAAAACCAATGCTCCCTCTAAGCTGTGGAGGCTTGTGAGCAAAAAATCTATTTTGTGAACTCCTGGCATTAAAGCTGTGAGCGAGCGATCTGGCTATTGCTTGCTTTGGAGCCCTCCTTCCTGAGCTGAGACAAAAATGTCTGAGCCAGAGGCTAAAAAAACTGTGAGCTAGCTCACACCAACTCAGCTTAGAGGGAACACTGCACAAAACTGCCTTTTCCCCAAGGACAGTTTCTGGGCTGCCCGTGGCTCACCGGTGCACCTTTGCAGTGCCAGGATCGTGCCCAGAAAGGGCCAAAGGCGCTCACCTGACGCTGTTGAGCACAGCCTTCTCCTTGGCCGGGGGTTTTGTGATGGGCCGCTTGGTGCTCACCACTTTCACCGGGTGCTGCTCTTTGCCCGCCTTGCTGTACTTGTTCTTGTCAAACTTTGGCTTGGGAGCCCCGTATTTCCTCAGGATCTTCAAGAGTCAGAAGGAAGAAGGGTTAGCTGGCACGGAGGGCTCCTTCCGCCGGGCAAGGCAGGGCAGGGCAGGGTTCGCGCCACGACAGGCGTGTGACTCATGCACGGAAAGCGGCCTTGGGCAGAGGTGTCGGCAGCATCCCAAGAAACCCCGCCCTCTCACTGATAGCCGCTTCTGAGTTCTTAAGGACTCCGAAGAAAAACCTGAACAGGTATCTTGGGAAATCTTTGGAAACCCGGGCAGGGGAGAGACAGGTGTTTTGGCCGCTGCTAAGGGACTCAGCTGCCATGCCTGTAGAACAACTTCACCTCGCCTCCCTATGACTGGCGGAACGATGAGACAAAAGTAGGTGCAAATGACATAAGCGGCAGGATCCGGGTTCCTCGTGGGACAGACTTTCACGTCTTTAAGCACTGGCGGGATTACGCAGAATGGAACGCTCACCTGAGTCAGCTGATCCTCCAGGACCTTCTTTGGGGGACGGACGTTGGTGAAGAAGGAATACAGGAGGTTCCCGGGCGTCTGGGCGTTGATCTGCTCTTTGCTCAGATAGATCTCCGCCACTTTGGTGGGTTTCGTAGGAGTTAAGCTCAGCATTTGCTCAGAGTGGAGGCAGCTTTTGAATATGTCGGTGAGGACGTCGCGAGCACCTGGCGCCAACTTCTCTCCTGATGGAAACGGGGTGTTTGTTTTTTTTAGAAATGGCAAGAGGATGTTAAAGCCAGCCTCCCTTCCATTGATACGGCACTTAAAAGCACTGCCTTCAACACATTTATTCTTCATTTTAAAAATCCATTTGTATATATTGCACGAACACACACACACACCTTTGATCGTTTTGTCATTGAAGTAGTCTTCAAGCGCGGGACTTCCTTGCGTATCAAACAAACTCTGGTTCACAGTAGAGACGGTTAAAATCTCCTCTGTGGACATTTCCATGAGCTCATCCTCCCCATCGAGACTTGACAGTCCAATCAGATCGCTGCTGTTAAATAAACTGGCCCGGATCTTCTCTATTTTGGCTCGGGATCTTATCTGTGGTAACGACACACTGCATTCAGCAGAGATCTGGAAGCTCAAACAGTTTCGTCATCTAGTAGTTAGCTGTTAGAATCATAGAATGCTAAGAGCTGGAAGGGACCTTGCAGGTCATCTAGTCCTGCACTCTGCAGGAGCACAGCCGGAAGATAGCCCTGCAACACACCCAAAAGATGGTCGTCCAGCCTCCGCTTGGAAACGTCCAGCAAAGGAGCATCCACCACCTCCCAGGGCAGACTGTTCCACTGCTCAACCACTCTTACAGTTAGGAAGTTTCTCCTGATATTTAGCCGGTATCGACTCCCTTGTGATTTTCACCCATTCGATCTTCTTTTGTTCCCATTCTGGCCTCACCAACAGCTCCTCGCCACCTTTCCCCCAACTGTAAGCCTACTCGGTGTCCCCAAAGCCCTGTCCTGGAGAGCCCAGGCCGGCCCCCTCTCGTCAGATCTCGGAAGCTAAGCAGGGTCAGCCCTGGCTAGTATTTGGATGGGAGACCTCCAAGGAAGACCAGAGGCAGGCCATGGAAAACCACCTTCTGAAACGTCTCCTGTCTTGAAAACAAGCCTAGCTCGCCACCTAGTGGTGCATAAGAGCTAGAACCTCTGGCTGCCAGACAATCTTAGGATCTCCTGGCTATACTACACACAAGGCCATATGATAATTAATTCATTCATTACTCCCTAAAGCCAACTTTTCAAAATCCAAGATCGAGAACTTTGAACGTCACATGAATTAAAATAAATTAAATTATTGCTGCACTGAGATGCATTTTATGCCGATGACTGTTCATGACATTTCAGAAGAGCTGTCAAGTCAGTCTACCTGCAGCAAGAAGAGCAAACCAGGTTAAACTTTGCAGATCTGTGCCACTAGTGGTCAACAGTCTCCCTTCCTATTGCATTATTTATGGGATGTCTTATGGTTGCCTGACTGCATCATTTTTACATTTCCTCTCTACTTCATACTGCTACTTAACGTATTAGTTTTAAGCAGATTACTGAACTATAGAAGAAGCTAGACCCCATTTGAAAGGATGCAAAAATCTATCACAGTTGCATAAAATCTCACAGCTAAAAGAGTGGTAGGTCTGCTATTATCTTCTAATAAAAGAGGCAACGCCCCCATACGATCTGTATTTTGGAGCAAAGAAAAAGATTTTTAGGCTCACAAAAAATGATTGCATTCAAAGGTCATGTGATACAGGGTGTCTACATTTTTAATATTTTTACATTTTGTAATCCACCTTGAGCCTCAGGGAGAAAGGGAGGCTTCAAAATGAACACATATATAAACTGTAATCGACTGTATTAAAGCCCTGTAATAAACTGTATTCAAAGTTTGCGTAATCAAAGAATGAATTCCCTTCCCCAGAAAACAGCTGTTACCTCCACAACAGCAAAGCCTTTGATGGGCCTCGATGGGACCGACTGGCTGTCCAGCGACGTCACGGTGTACATTGATCCGACGTCGGACACCGACGCCGTCTCCACGTTGTCAATCGGTTCCCCGAGGCTCCCCAAGCTGCCTAGGCTTCCGGTACTACAAAGGGAAAGGTCTAAGCTTTCCTGACTGGAAACCACATGCGGTTCTAGCAACCCGGGTGGAACGGGCACCTCCAGGGCCGCCTGGAACTGGTCGACGGAGATGTCACTAATGGTCCGGGAGATGCCCTGGGAGCTGCAGAGGGAGGCCTGGCTAGTAGAGGCAGATGCGCTGATGCTCATGGCGGGCGTGACGCTGCTGGAGCTGCTGATGTCCAAGCTGTCCACACTACTGGAGACCACCGGCTTGTCCATCTCAGTCCTGCACTCCCCTCCCTCCGCTTTGTCCTTTGTTTTTTTAGGCTCTTCCTCTTGCAGAGGGATGTAGATTTCGTCCTTGAAGACGCCGCCGTGAGCGTTGCAGGCCTTGCGGATGGCGTTCCGCACGGTCCCCTCTTCCAGGTGGGTGGGGATCCCTGAAATCACTAGCAAGCGGCTATGAGCCGTCGTCCCAACCAAGGCCTGGCAAGCATCTGTCACGGCATCGCTCGTCACGCCGAGCCCCTGGGGGTCCTTCTTGGTGAGGTGCCTGAGAATGATGAGCAAGGTCAGCGTCCGGTGGAACCACAGCATGTCCTCTGGCTTGCTCCCGCCTATGCTCAGCGTGGCCGCGTCTGCGTCGGCCGCTCGGGACGAAGTCCGCTTCCCTGAGGACGATGTCTTCTCCCGCTTCATTTTCACCTTCTTCCTCTTTGACAGGAGGCTCGGGCTCTGGGGGGTCTGCCCCGGGGAGGAGGAAGAGGAGGAGGAAGAATCGCTGAGGTTCGGGCCCCCGGTCGACGACATCACGTTGGCCGTTATGCTCATGTTGATGGGGAGGGTCACTTCTGCTACCGCCAGGCAGACCTCCATCAGGGCGTGGAAGTAGGTGGAGAATCGCCCCTGGTCGGCGCCTCCGACCCCAGATCCGGCGCAGGTACTCCCGGACGCCCAATTCTGGGTTTCTTCATCGTACAGCTTGTGCAGCTCTGACTGAAGCGCCATCAGCATGGCCAGGCAAGGATTGAGCTGGAGCGCGATGGAGGACGAGAGCCCCGCCGGGTTCTTCTTCTGCTCCAGGCTGTGGATTTTGCGGAGCAGTTCGGCCAAGAGGTGGAACAGCAGCTCCTTCACGCAGGCGGCCATGTTGGTGGTCCACAGGAAGTTCCCTAGGAAGAGCCAAACGGGGCACAGAGAAGATTAGGGACTTTTAAAGCATTTCACAGATGTCACATCATCATCATCATCATCATCATCATCATCATCATCATCATCATCATCATCATCATCCAATTTCTATCCCGCCCTCCCCATGAATGGGCTCAGGGTGGTTTACAAGGTCACACAAAATCATGACAACAATAACATATAAGTTCAATAGTTGAAAACAACATTTTAAAGCAATGACAACAATCAGCACGAAAGCCTTGTTAACTATGCTCAGTCTAGACTGATCATTGTTGTTGTTGTTCAGCCGCACAGTCGAGTCCGACTCTCCGCGACCCCATGGACCACATCACGCCAGGCCTTCCTCTCTTCCGTCGTGCTCTGGAGTTTGCTCAATTTCATGCTCACCGCATCAATAACACTGTCTAACCATCTCATCCTTTGCTGTCCCCTTCTTCTTTGACCTTCCATCTTAGACTCATCAGAAGCCAGCAATTTCAACAGGGGAGGCCAGAGATGGATTTGGATGTCTGCCACCCAGGGGTCATTTCCTGCTGGAGCGCACAGGAGCGGAGCTCCGGCAGTAAAGAGCCCAGGGGGTGGGAACATGTAACAAGCTCCACCCCCTCCTCAGGCAGAGCAAGAAGCAACCAGGTAAGCAACCAGGGAAACCGGAGGGCCCCCCCCCCCCAGTCCAAAACAGTCCGGTGGCACTTTTAAGACCACGTTTTATTCAAGTAAAAGCTCTCCCTCCTCCGTGAGGACAGATCTGCACATTCCCCCTCCCCAATAGCTAGCAATCCAAAACAGTCCAGTGGAGCCTGAGCGGTGGGTGTTGCCTTCTGACACACTTCCGGTGATGGCAGGGGGTGTGGCATATGCAAATAAGTCATGCTAATGAGCTCGTGCACCTCTTTTTCTCCGAAATGACCCCTGCTGCCACCTCAGCCAAAAGCCTGGCGGAAGAGCTCCGTCTCGCAGGCCCTGCAGAATTGAAGAAGATCCCGCAGGGCCCTGATCTCAAGTGGGAGCTTGTCCCACCAGGTTGGGGCCACGGTAGAGAAAGCCCTGGCCCTGGTCGAGGCTAGCCAGACATCCTTGTGGCTGGGGACAACCAGTCGGTGTTGGTCAGCTGAGCGCAATGCTCTGCGGGGAAAATAGGGGAATGGGCGATCCTGAAGATATGTTACGGAATTCGCAGGAGAAGCAGACATCTAACAAAACAGTCAGTGTGAAGTCAGCATGCAGCCCGTGGAATGTGCTTTAACTCGAGTCTGTACTGAGGCTGTGCAGGCCCCTACCCTACCCCACCCTTAGCTCACAGGGTAGATAACGTCCAGTGCCATCCTCTATGCCATTTTTAAAAACCCATTTTTTCCGTTCCCGGGGTGCCAATGGCGGGGGCATCTGCTGGGACTCTCATAAGACTGAAGATGACGTTTCTGGATTTGTGTTCCCTTCCTGTACTTAAGTTTTTTATTGCGTATATCTATCACTGTGTCCCCTTCCTGATGGAGCCAGGTCAGCCCCTCCTACAGGGCAACTTTCCCGGATGAAACATATTAGGCGGGTCTAGATACAAGAGCGAGGAATAGTCAAAGCTTTTTTTGTTGTTGCCAGAACTGAGGCCTAAATCCAACACACTTTGCCTCCAAGAGTTCATAGAATCATAGAGTTGGAAGGGACCTCCAGGGTCATCTGGTCCAACCCCCCCCCCCCACACACACACACACGGCAGTTTTCAGAGGACTGCTTCCAACAGAACTTTCCTGGGCTGTTTTGTTTTAAAGCATCTGTGGGGAAGGACTACCATTTCCTGTTGGGATTAAAAATCCTGCCAGGTTACTCTTTC